AGAGGAAGGATACCACAGAGCAAAAAAAAACAAACCAGCAAAAGAGAAGACAATAAAAGGCAGCGCAATAATGGGCATAAATTTCTCTTTCTTCTGCCCCATGGCAAGCTGCCAATCTCTTCCACACACATTCCTCAGCGCTACTAAAACCAGTCCCCATGGGCACACCTGCCTTGAGACAAATTCTTTTAGTCTTGAAAAAATCTGGGCACTTCTTCAATAAAGAGCTTTGCTTTTAAAGTACTTTGCCTTTGTGAATTTTGGCAGCAGCTCACACTTGGAGAGCTTTTGAGAACCCTTTCTGTAATCAGATTTCCCTGCCCTGCCCCGGGGGACTGTGGGCGAGTCACTTCCAACAGCTGTCCCTCAGCTTCCCATTCTGTGACATGTGGCTCACCGCTACCTCAAAGGGCTGGGGCTAGGCATCATTTATGTGTAAAGAGCTGTGAAATCCATGAGGTTGATGGGGTGCTGAGCGTTACACGACATGCTGTGAGGGTAGTGTTACTGCAGCTCACCACTTGGGTATAGCAGGAGCTGGGACAGGCACAGGAGTATGGTTTAAAACACTTGGCTCCCAGTGCGAAAAGTCATTAAGTGAATGGAAGAGGAGGCAGTTCAGTTGTGTGGTAACAGGACTCATTTCTTCTACACAGTATGGCCAAGGTTGAAGACCAGAAAATACAAACACTTATGAGTACTAGCTAAGCCCTCACCATCTTGTTCAAAACCAGAAAAAAAGCAAAACCCAAACTGAGACTTTTTCAGTTCCTTCTTATGCAGGCTGCCTCCTGAGCCACCGCATACTGGAGATGTTCTGGGGTGGCAAAATCCTGTTTTTGCTCTGAGAAAAGTGTCTTTTCTTCTCTTGTTCTGACCAGAATCAGATTAGGTTGTCAACAAGCTTAAAAGAGAATCCAAATGATTTGCAGCATGGTGCAACAGCAAAGAGCATCACCACAGCTCTGTGGATACATGGCTAAAATAATGGGCATTACGATTTCTGGTGAAAGGAGGGTGAAGCTGCTTTACAGGTTACATACAAGAGTAACCTGCTCCTTCTTTCCTATCTTCTCTCTGTGCTCACAAAAAAAGCCATGCTGCCTCCCAAGGAAAGAAGTTGCTGTTAGCAAGCCGCCTTGCCTCATTTCTACCTAAAGCTGTCATGGAACAAAGAACATCTGTTCATTTTAGACTGCGTGGCAACATGCAGCACAGCTAGAGAATACAGCTGCCTAATTCCTAACCAAGCCCGTACCACCTTTGCTTTGAGAAAGAGGTCAAGTATTGCTCTTTACGTGCCAAAGTTGCCCTAGTTGGCTTAGCTTTGGTTTTAATACCATAGCTGGAAAAACATATGCTAATTTTACCTCTTGTCTTTTGATAATTCACCCCCCCAAAACAATTAAGTACCAAACCAAGTTTTAGGAAAAGCAGGGTCTGAAGATCTGGATGCTGTTAGGAGCCATGCAGAGTCTAATTCTGGCATGGCTGCAAATTTAATTTGTGGTCTTGAATAAGTCAATTAAATTCTTCTCATCAAGTCTTCCCTCAGTAAAATTGAGAATAATTACTTGCCTTGTAGAGACGCTGCAAAGACTAAGGAAGTCTTGAAATAGTTTGTTTAAGATGTTAAAATCTCTTAAGAATTATGTAGAAACCTCAGTTAGGATTTATAAAAAGGTTATTTAAAAACACAATGGGATAAAAAGTATCATCATTGAAACTAATTAATGAAATAACAATGTTGAAAAACTTCTCAGATGTGAAGGATGGAACATAAATCTGCAGTTGCCTGGGGGAGTATATTCGGCTCAGAGAAGCAACTGCTCTTTATTCGCTATGGTGGAACAAAGTCAGTGCAGATACATGAGGAAATTCGTGTAGCCTATGATACTCTTTAATAGTGTCTTCCATCATTATCAGTCTTAATTATGCATGATCTTATAACGCTTCAGGCCTTTAGCTGGGATCTGTCCTGGTGTGGTTGGTACCACAGACACAGAAGATAGTGAAGTTCCCTGCCCCAAAGAGCTTACAGTCAGAGGTCCTGAATGTCCAGCAGTTTACATCACACAGGGATGAGACCATAAATGTCAACAGCTCTGTTTATAGACATAAAATTAGTTCATGTAAACGCATCATCGTGGTAGATAAACTCAAATACATCATGAGAAATGTCACATGGATTCCCCTGGCAGATGCAGGCAGCACAAGGTAACAGTGGCATTATTACGGCTGGTGTAATCCCAGATGTCAGAGTACACCAGTTGCTTAGATGTGCTCTATGTACATACTGAGAGATGTGAATTTCAGGGAGGAGGCCAGGAAGAGGCAAGGCAACTAAGGGGCCTTGCACAGTCTTAGATGGATCTCCTCTGGTTTTGGCAGCCCAAGATAAAGCACAAATGTATTTGTAGAAAACTTGACCTTAAATTTACAAAAGCAGACATTACTGGCAGAGCACAGGCCGGTACCATCGGCATGTATGAGACAAAACACAGGGTGGGACTGTGCTGTGATAGATCTTAAAAGTGAAAAATAGAAGTTTGAGCTGATATACAGAGAATAAAAAGCCAGCAGAGGGAACGGTAAAACCAAAGGCACAGACAGCCTGCAGTTTCATACACGCAGATCTTGGCACATCTTCAAAATTAATTGTTAATCTAATAATAATAATGCTTTGCTCAAGAGATAATTATCCTGTACCCAGATGAACATGGTCCTTCTCCCCCATCTTGTACTGTAAGGCAAACAATAGAAAACAAGGCTATCAAATTCGCCATTTTATAAAGGACTACTGAGGAGTAACCCATTTGATCTATATCATTTTTCACAAGTGATAATGTAATAAAAAGATGGATCAGTTAAGAAACCCCTGCCTTATCCCCACCACACTACTCAAGGTTGTTGTGCAACCAGTTCCAGCCACTATCTGATAGAGAATGTAAGAGAGGGAGAGTCAGACATTGCCAAAAAAGCATCAGAAGAGCTAATTCAAGAAGTTCATACCCATTTCCTCCACTCATTCCTCCCTTATCTACTACCTGCATTTTCCTCTGCTCAGTCCTGCATCATTGGCTATGTTTTATTAGAAGAGGTGCCTATTGCCCGCAATGGGGAGGGCTGGGAGTGATAAGAGGGCTTGTGTTGATTTTGGTTTTTATTCCAGATTGATTACTGGCCATGCTTACAAAGCAAAATTATTTCCCCTGTTCCTGTACTGATATATACACACAGGCACATACAGACATCTAAACACTTTTCGTGTTACAGTGAAGCCTAAGGGGTGGTATATTCAAGTATCTCTCAGTATAGCTACGCCAAACTGCGGGATACACAGCCACACTGAAAGGTGATGGGCCATTACTCTGATTTTGCACACATGGTGAAAGCCAAACCTTCCTCTTTTCCTTGTTTTCATTTGAATAAGCAGAACAAGGTTGCTTAGCTCACTGTTTGGTTTCTCCGGGGCAGTAGAGTTGTGCTTTATGCTGTTTGCTTAGTGACATGTCAGTGTAGTGCAGGTCAGGTGATGTCCTTGAAGATATGGGTCTGTTCATATGATTACGTATCTGTAATTAACACTGCGCAAGCTGAACCGGAGCCTTACAGGACTCTTTCCTCAGGTCATCTTGCTGTATGAGTGAGGAGGCACCAGCTGCTTCTTAGCCCGAACGTCCAGTTGCATACAATGATCTTTATAGGTGTAAAATAAATGTGCTCTCTGCTCAGGCAAGCTTCCTCTGTCAGTAATAGTTACTGACTTGCCAGTTCACTAAGAGTTGGTCTCCACCAACCCTGTACATCCAGGATACTAAACTGAGGGCTGTTTGCACAAAAGTCTGTGTGTGGATACTTGTTTTGTCAGCTCCATGGTCTTATTTTGTTTGTATGGCATTCAGTCTCATCCGCAGAAGGTGTCAGTGAGACCTGGTATCTGTGGGGACAGGTAAGAAACGGGTATTTTGCCAGTGCTCTTCCTACTTTCTGCCATTTGCAGAAATGAGGAGCATTTCAATTTGGTATCCCAGCCAAAAGTTACTGTACTCAGGCAGGTGCTGGCTTCTCCACCAGTACCTGGCTGAACACAGGAGTCCAGCTGGGGACACCTTCTAGGCACGCTCCTTTCTGAGACAACCCTCTCCTGATGTGAAAGGTGAGGAGAGGGTAGTGGGCTGCCTGACTAAAGAATGCCTGTAAGAGTCAAACTCCCTTTCCAGTAGCTGTGCAATAGATTTTAAGACAAAAAAAAAACAACTAGTGAATGAAAGTGTATCAGGATGGGGGGTACATGCATTCAGAGCATGCACGGATGGTGATTTCTGTACAACCTGTGAAGATCTTGGGAGCAGAGACCTGAGCAGACTGGGCACGTACATCCTGGTGAGAGCAGGCAGGTGATAGCAATAGGTGATGCAAGGGCATCTCTGCACGGCAGAGCATGATGCAGTACAGACACAGCAAGCAGCATGCTGCTGCTGTTAACAGATACCTCTGATGACAATGTGACCGTCACCACCTATGACACTACATAAAACCAGTAGCAGCAAGTGTCTGCTTCATTCATGCTGCTTCACACCTCTGGTGGCCTTTGTGCCATTCTGGTTTAGGTTGGCTGTAGTGATCACTGTCTTCGTATGATGTTTTTGAAAGTTATGAAATTGTAGAGTTCTCCTGCAGAAAGTACAGGAGAATGGAAAACGGCAGAGCTCCAAGACAGAAGGAGCAAAAGTAAATTCAGTGCAATAAAGTTCCACTTTCTGAAGACATTAAACAGTTTTAAGACTACACTAGTCTAAGTAAATGAACACGCCCTTTTTATTACTGAGGCAACCAAAGTGGGGAGAATGGAAACAGCCTGTTATAGGTAAAGCCAAATGAGATGTTGCCTAGTAACTCTCAGCAGGGAAGCACTTAAACCCAGCCAGTTTAGTGAAGCTGATGTTCTGACTCAGAGATTATTTTCTCTGGAAAAAAACTCTGAAAGCAGGAAAGCTCAATTTCACAAACATAAGATTTATTTTCCTGTTACAGCAAACCATGGTGACAATGCTTGGGAGAATACAGAAGTATTTACAAACTTGTACAAGGAAGAAGAGACAAGGCATGTTTTCAACAAAAGCATCACTTTACTCAACATGTTTTTTGATGCTGATTTTTTTCCCCAAAAAAGTAAACTTCACATTAATTTTTATTTTCGGATTCTGAAATACACAAGTGATAACAGAAGTCTGGAGATGTTACACAGATAGTTACATTATTATCATATTATTTCTGTAAGAGGAAGTTCCTGGAGCAAACCCTACTTCAGCTCTGCTATTGGACACAGAATCAAAGTAAATGATTTAAAAGAAGAAAGACTCCATGTCCTCACTGGTTCCGTTGCCTGGAATAGTTTTAATTAGGCCCTCTGTCAGGACTTCACTTTTATGGGTTCACGGAAAAGTCACTTGGCTTGGCTAAAGGTCTCTCACATCAGGGGGAAAAAGCCCCTCAAGCCTTATTTGCAGATTCATGTTATTTTTGCTTCCCTTTAGAAGGATATGATGATTTCACAGAAGTAAAAGTTCTGGCATGATCAGCCATGTACATCTGTATTCCTGGGTGCAACAACTACTGTTCAGCATAGGCAAAGTCAGGTTCAGGAGAACACTTCATTTCAGCAGCCTCGATACAGTTAATGATGATGGTTATGAATGTGAACTATTGCATAGATTTTTTTTTAATTAAAAAATTACAATAAACAGATCAACACTTACATCACACTAACCATGAAAAGGCAGACTGCCAAAGAGTTACCACAAAAATATGTATTTTATCAACACTGATAATAGCTGGAAAGCAAAGCTGCAATGGCATAAGTACTAAAATTTGAGTTCTATGTTAAAAGCCTGAGAGTTTTTCACAAGCCTGTTGTACGAGCAGCGAAAGGATGTTCTGTAAGCCACAGAGATCCACTTCTTACTGACCAGAGCCTGGTTTGAAGTTTAACGAAACACTGTTGATACAGAACCTCTGCCCAGAAGGTGTGGGACCATCATCAAACACATGGCCTAGATGGGCGTCACACTGCAACAGAAATTACGTACCATTATTACCATTACAATTATGGACCAACATTATGCTGGTACCTACTGCACTATCCTGAATGAAGAAACCTGCATGATGAATTCACTGTTGAGTTGTGTGGGTGGGGGGGTCTTGGGGAGAGACTAGAAATACATCCTGGAGTAATCACCTCTGGCCAGTGGGTGAATATCTGCCCGCAAAGAAGCAGATCCCAGAAGAGGAAGTCAAAAGGTACTAATGCTAGAAAGTATAGGAAATAAATGGGAGGATCTAGAATTCTCAATACATAATGAAAATTTCAAGTTGATTGAGACAGTCACTGTAGGTTCTCCTCATGGGTCAACTGAGGATTCTCCCCCTCCTCCCCCTGCAAATTACTGATGGGAAAAAGACTCAGAATAGCTATCAGTAGTTCATTATAAAATTTGAAGGTTGTCTTCAGCTGGGGTTCCTGAAAGGTGATTGCTGGATATTACTGCAAACATGAACTATACCATGATAATGGACTGCAATGAATGCTTGTTATATTTGCAGGTAATACCTAATCCTGCTCGAAAGGGCTGCAATTCATTAAACTCAATTGCATACTTTTATATCTTAACAGACATAGTAAACAGAACAGACTCAGGGTTGGGAAGAACTGGTTAGGGCTGGCAGTTCTTTAGAATAGGACCTGGGTATTACAGCAGGTCCCAGTACAAGTATGGGTCATGGGTAGGGGAAAGGCAAAGGTGTAAGGACAGGAACACTACCAGGACAGGAGTAGCTACCAGGGAAGGGCGGCTTCTGTGAAACGAGAGAACCCACAGAAGACAGCTGTGAAGATGTGGGGCACCACCACCGCCGTGCAGGGCAAATAGTAATAATCTAGGGCAAATAGTAATAATCTTCAACTGCTGCAAAGCAAACAGTGTTTTCCCCAGTGTCTAACCAATAGTAGGAAGACATGAATGTTACAACTCTTTACCTAGCGAGGCTGTGGAGTCTCCATCACTGCATATTTTAAGAACAGCTTAAGCAAACATTTAGCAGGACTGATTTAGGAAGCACTGACCCTATGATGGGGCAAATGGGTGGACTAAATCTCAGAGTCCCTTCTACTGTTGTCACGTACTGCAGTTCACCTGATGTCCTCTGAACAAATTTTCTGTCTAAATTCCAGCCCTTGGCTACACTTACACAACTACTCTCCCCAGCCACATAATTTTCTTCACCCAAACGCACTGTCTATATTAGATATTTAGAAATCTACTCGTGTTTCATACCAAGAAGTGAGACAGAATAGTTCCAGTGATAATGTAATTCTCACTGCTAGATTTAGGTAGATTTATTTATGGGCACAAATAAAACTTATTTGTTAAGATTTGGGTCTTTGGGTATCACCTCCAAAATAAACATACCTGTTTGCAGACGACTTCAGTTCTAGTTGATCCCAATGAGTTATCTGGTCGTCTCATGATATTGGTATTGCTTTCATCTCTGCCACAAGTACCATAAGCCTCAGAAAATGATGGCCATCCAGTCCCAGAATTGTACTTCTTTTCTGAGCTATAGTGGAAACCAGATCTTCTTGTTAATTAATGGCAGAGATGTTACACAAAGGTCTGTTTTTAATAAGAACATTGGATTTTTTCCTCATCCTTGTCTTGTAATACTATTAATAGTATTTGGCATAGTAGAAGTTTTCTCACTGGCATCAAACTGCTGGAAGCTCTTTACCGAAGGGAATTCTCCATCAGCCCACAACAGGAGGTTTTGCCTCACCTTTTCTATTTCACTGATAGTTTGGCATTTTATAGAGCTTGAAAAAAGGTTTTTCCAACAACTGAGCACATTGTTTAGCTGAATTACACCTGCAAAGCTGCAGTTCAAAGCCTGGGCCAATACAGCACAACCTCAGAGAAGAGTTTACAAGAAGAAATGAAGTATGGAAAATGAGTATGGAAAATGGCTAGGTTGGCCCACCGGACCAGGCTCACGTCTGATGATGGCTTTGGCTTGCAGTCAGCCATCAAAACGGTTTGCTAAATCAAACAGAGCCTTGCTCAAACCATCAGTCAACCAATGACAAACCCTCACAGCGCAAAGATCTACTTTTCCCAAGAGATAATCACAGCCATCAGAAACAGTACTACAGACTGTCAGCTTGTCGATGCCTCCTGTTAACATCCAGGATTTACTGTTTAATATCTTCATCAATGACATAGACGGTGGGATGGAGTGCACCCTCAGCAGGTTTGCATATGACACCAAGCTGAGTGGTGCGGTTGACACGCCCAAGGGACAGGGTGCTATTCAGAGGGACCCGGACAAGCTCGAGAAGTGGGCCCATGTGAACTTCATGAGGTTCCAGAAGGCCAAGTGCAAGGTCCTGCACCGGGGTCGGGGCAACCCCCGGTATCAATACAGGCTGGGGGATGAAGGGATTGAGAGCAGCCCTGCCGAGAAGGACTTGGGGGTACTGGTGGATGGAAAGCTGGACATGAGCCAGC